TGAGATATTGCCTCACATCTATCAGAATGGCTATCATCAATGTGTCAAGTGTTGGCGAGGATGTGGAGAAAAGGAAACCCTCATACACATTTGGTGGAAACGCAGATTGGTGCAGCCACTGTGGAAAACACTATGGAATTTCCTCAGAAAATTAAAAATGGAACTGTGTTGTGACCCAGCAATTCCACTTCAGCGAATATATCTGAAGAAACCTGAAACACCAATTTGAAAAGTATATGCACCCCCATGTTCATTACAGCATTATTTACAATAGCCAAGATTTGGAAGCAGCCCAAGTGCCCATCAGTAGATGAATGGGTAAAAAAACTGTGGTACATTTACACAATGAAATACTAGTCTGCCGTAAAAACGAAGGAAATCTTACCTTTTGCAACAGCAAAATGGACCTGTAGGGCATTATGGTAAGTGAAATAAGCCAGACAAAGACAAATACCATATGATTTCACTTATATATGGAATCTAATGAACAAAATAACTAACAAGCAAAATAGAAATAGACTCCTAGATAACAAGATTGACAGCTGTTAGAGGAGGAGGGAGTTGGGGGCTGGGTGAAAAAAGTGAAAGAATTAAGCCAAAAAAATCACTTATAAATATAGACAACAGTATGGTGAGTACCAGAGGGAAAGGGTGGTGCAGACAGGTAGAAGAGGATAAAGGAGGGATAAATGGTGACAGAATATTTGTCTTTGGATGGTGCACACACAATACAATATACAGATGATGTATTATAGAATTGTACACCTGAGACCTATATAATTTTATTAACCAATGTCACCCCAATACATTCAGTAAAAATTGAAAATAAAAAATAATCCCCAGTCAGGTCGTTCAGTTGATTGGAGAATCATCCTGTACCCCAGAAAGGTTGTGGGTTTGATTTCCAATCAGGGCACATATCTAGGTTTCGAGTTCAATCCCTGACCAGGGCACATATGGGAGAAAACCAATTGATGTTTTCTCTCTCACATCGATGGTCTCTCTCTCTCTCTCTCTCTCTCTCTCTCTCTCTCTCTCTCTCCCTCCCTCACCCTCTCTCACCCTCCCTCACCCTCCCTCACCCTCCCTCACTCCCTCCCCCCACCCCGCCCCTTCTCTCTTAAAAAAATAAATAAAATGTACCCTTGGGTGAGGATTAAAAATACTGTATAGTAGGGAATTCTGCTTATGCCCATACGACCTAGTTTCTTAGTGAAACTCTTGCATCATTACTGTAGAGAAATGGGACTATTCTCTCTAGTAAAGAACCGCAGATTAACAGTTATGATGGTAATATGAATCTTATTTGCAGTGTACTTTGGTAAGGAAAATAGGCATACTCTTTACAAAAAAATGATAGAGATTAGCTATTTCACAGTCATATTTATGTTTCTGACCTATCCTAAGTGTTGGAACTGATCACTAAAACAGTCTACTTTAAGGAGTCCCTCCTCTCACTCTGGTATCCCCTCACTATCATCATTCACTGCATTTCTTCACTGCTATTATCACTGTACTGCAAACATGAAATAAAACCTTAATTTTGACCTAGTCCGAAAGTCTACAATATTACTAAAGTTGTATCAATATGTAAGACTTCCTTTGATGTTAATAATATAGGGTGTCCAGCCCAGCTGGTGTGGCTCAGTGGTTGAGCGTCGACCCATGCACCAAGAAGTTGCTGGTTCGATTCCTGGTCAGGTTGTGGGCCCAGTCCCCAGTTGGGGGCATGTAGGAGGCAACCATTTGATGTTCTCTCTCATCAATGTTTCTGTCTCTCCCTCTCCCTCCTTCTCTCTCTAAAATCAGTTTTAAAAAAGAAAAATAATGTAGGGTGTCCCAAAAAAATACACACACAATTTGGTTATAAAGTTAGTGTTTATTAATGTATAGTTCATTTTCAAAGTGTAAAAGAATCTACAGAAAATTTTTTTGTCAGTGCCTGTTTTCAAACTGATGACCATTCTGGTCCAGGCACTGCTGATAACATGAAGCAGTGGAATCGCAGATATCAAGAATCATTTTGTTCGGGATTTGTATGCATTCTCTTTCAATAGCTGCTCTCAATTCTTCGACTGTTCCCAGTTTTGTACCGTAAAATTTATCTTTTATGTATCTCCATAAAAATGTATCTAGTAGATAAGTTTTCTTTGTTCAAAACTTAGTCTGGCTTCACCCATTATTTCAAATCAGTTAAACATGAAAAGGAGTGAGAATTGAGTAATCAGCTGTTAAAATGTGTATTCATTGTTTGGGACACCCTGTATTTTCTCCAGATAAATTTATCTAGATGTAGCCGAAGTAGCCATTTCATTATTAGATAAGTGCTATTTATTTTCAGTTACATATTATACACACACACAAATGATTGAAGTTTTACTATGGAATAATCCCAGTAAAGGATGAAGTGGTACTCTAGGATAAAAGAAACTTCCAAAGAATATTAATGTTAAACATATTTTTTGCTTTAATATTTTATATCTTTTTCTGCTTTTGAAATGAGCTCTCAATGACAAAATATCAAACTACATTTAAAAAATACAGCATCGCCCTGGCCGGTTTGGCTCAGCGGTTAGAGCGTCAGCCTGCGGTCCACAGAGACCCGGGTTTGGTTCCCGCTAAGGGCATGTACCTTGGCTGCAGTTTGTCCCCGGCCCTGGTTGGGTCGTGTGGGTGGCGGCCACTCAATGTGTTCCTTTCACATCGATGTTTCTCTCTCTTCCTCTCTCTCCTTCCCGCTCTATCTGAGTAAAAAATGGAAAAATGTCCTCGGGTGAGGATAAAAATAAATTTAAAAAATAATAATAAAAAAATACAGCATTGACACAATATGGAGAAGCCCACAAGGAAGAACAGATAGTAGCAGGTGGCAAGATGTGGGTGGGAAGTAACTGAAGCAGTGGTTACAAACGTCCCCAGGAAGCTAAAACTATCCAACAGGTTGTGCCTTAATGTTAGCACAGGTTAGACTAGTTACTACCTTGGTGGGTGGCCTCGGTGTATTTGGGTTCAGATTCGACATGGCAATGCAATTTCTTCCAGTTAAGAGTTCTTGGCTTGCACCAGTCAGGGTGGCCAGAGGGCACTGGACTAGTCTACTAATTTTTCAAAATGCTGTCATAGGCCTTATAGATGTACTGAGAGACTTCAGGAGCTCTACATTTCAGTGAGTGTATAATTGGGGTTTCCTGGCTGGATACGTAGCTCATCCAAAATCCAAATGCCATTAATGAGCTTCAGAAATTGAGACAGCATGGTTCTGCCTTTCCACTTTCCTCTTGGCAATGGTAAACACTGTTGTTTTGCAACTTGCTGGAAATGACATTCCTTAACCTAAAACTAAAGTTCATTTTCATTGGCAATAAATATCCTTCCATGTTGCAAGGAACATTGGGTGCTCCATTTTGCCATCTTATACAAAGAGTACATGGAGTGGTTATGAGGCAGCTGTAGTAGTAGACATCAATATTGTTTTTCAAAGCCACATGCAGGTTATTTAGAGGTTCTATTTTCATGATTGAGCCCAAGGTATTGAGAGGGAAGGAGTCATCAATGCTTTGGCTTGGCATTAATGGTGTATGGATGGCCAAAGGGGGTGACACCAAAGTTGTTCTTGTTAAACTGAACTGCAAAGCTTGTCATGCTGCAGAGTTTTGTTGATGAAGTTCATTTTTATAGTGTCCTTGGTGATGAGTAAATGTTCCAGAAATCTCCAATCCTTTACTGCAGGCAGCCAGACAGCCTTAGGAGAGACATATCTACCAGGTGCCATGCTATCCCTGTAGAGAGTTCAAATAGATCACTCAGACCACTGCTGACCACTGCAGGAGTAGGTAAAGGAGCAAAGGTTGCACGCATTGATGATGGGATGAAGGATTGTCCCACTCTTGGACTTCCTCCAATGCCCCCGCCAAGGTCAGCCAAACAGACTATCTAGTTCTCCTCCCAAGAGATCCGCTGCTCTCATCTGCATGGATACCGTGGCACACTGACTGGGGAACCAGGGTCAAGGTTTAAAGGTTCCCTCGGGTCACTTTGAGAAGGGATAGATAACCCAAAGCTGTTCCAGGTTGGTGGCAGTGGTTGTGCCAATAGGGCTGTTACCCACATCAGTGCTTCTATGATGTGTTGGCAAGTGTTTGTGATGGATTCCATGACTTCCTTCCACAAGAGCATTGGGAGGCTTGTGGTACACAGAGGCCAAAGAACCAATGTGGCATATTAGTTCATCCAGCAAAGTTGGTTCAGTAAGATCTGTCTCCTCAGATCAGTGTCTTCTCACACAAGATGACTTCTTTGATGAAGATGAGAGAAGCCTCCAATAAATACAGTCTTATCTCTGAGGTCATGATTACCATAATACTGTGTTGCCAAACTCAAGACCTGATGTACCAGCTCCTGGTTTCTTGAGAAACAGTTTATGGCAGTAAACAGTGAGATGTACCTTGGTGCTTTCATCATGAACACCTTCCAGGAAGCTCTCTAGTAACTCAGTTGTATTGTCAGTCCTTTCAGCATATTCTCCCACAATCCAAATCTTAGCTTCTGGTTCATCCAGTGAGTCTAAATTCTCTCACACAGTGTCCATGATAGTTTCACATTTGTTGGGGTATTTGAGGAAATATTCCCTGATTACAATAATCGCTTCCTGGACCACATAATTTACTTTGGTCTGAATGAGATCAAGCAAGGTGCTTACACAATGTTCTGCAGATTGCTCCACCTTGATGGCACATCATCCAGTTGCCCGCACAACTTTGGGAACAAAGTCAGCATCTACCTCTGTGGTATATCCCTTCAGTTCTGCCAGAACCTGAGCAATATTGGCTTGGGATGCCAAATGAATCATGATGTCTGACTTCTCTAGTTTAAAATAGATAGGAATATTATACTTTACAAAGAAGACTTTGATTTTCTGCTTCAAGATTTCAGGCTTTTACAACAAGTTCAGCTGAAGACTGAAGCAAGAGTAGGATCAGGTGGCAGCCACAGCAGCCTCAAGGACCTCAGCAACGATGGCCTCCTGCCCAGATTCAGACAATAGCTGGGTGCTTGCTGGCTCAGAGAGCCTGCCTGTGGAGACCCTGGGCCCAGAATCCACGATGGACCCCAAACCTCAGAGAGCTCTTCAGGGCCCTGGGAGCCCTGCCAAAACAGATGAAGAATTGGCTGGGACCTTGGATGGAGAAGAGATCCTTTTCCAGAGTGAAACCTCCCAGTCTGGTCCCATTCTGCCAGAGGAGACTGAGGCCAAGGGTGTCCTGGAAGGTGATGGTCCTGGACTGGAGCTCCCTGACTCAGGAGACATCGTGGCCCAGGGAGACTTGGAGGAGGCCCCTGTGGTGGCAGACCTGGGACCAGACACACAGGACCTGGAGGATCAGAGCCTCCAGCAGAGCCTGCCCTCATCCACCAAAGCAGCTTGGATCAGGGAGGCTGCCCTCTGCACCAGCAGTGAGGATGACACCGATGTGGATGTGGAGGGTCTGCGGAGACGACGGGGCTGGGAGCCCAGCACTCCTCAGCCTACCGTGCCCCTGGGCGCAGAGGACCAGGCCGGGGGTGAGGGTGTAAGCGGGGAGCTGGGCATTTCCCTCAACATGTGCCTCCTCGGGGCCCTGGTTCTGCTGGGCCTGGGGATCCTCCTCTTCTCTGGTGGCCTCTCAGAGTCTGAGAGTGAGCCCATGGAGGAAGTGGAACTGCAGGTCTTTCCAGATGCTACCCTGGACAGTAAAATGGCGGATGCTGTGGGGGATGGGCGGGATGGGCTAAGGCAGCAGCTGCAGGCCTCAGCGCCCCCTGACAGTGTCCCCAGCCTGCAGAGCATGGCTCTTCTGCTGGACAAGCTGGACAAGGAGAACCAGGATATCCGGCTGCTGCAGGCCCAGAAGGAAGACCTTCAGAGCCTGATGCACCAGCCCAAAGGTCTAGAAGAGGAGAATGCCCAGCTCCGAGGAGCCCTGCAGCACGGCCAGGCCTCCCAGAAGGCCCTAGAGTTAGAGCTGCAGCAGCTGCGGGCCCGTCTCCAGGGGCTGGAGGCTGACTGTATCCGGGGAACAGATGGGGTGTGCCTCAGCTGGGGCAGAGGCCCACAGGATGGCAAGGTCTCTAAGGAGCAAGGTCCTCAGGGGCAGGAGCCAGGCACTGGCCTCCTAAAGCAGAGGGAACAGCTAGAGGCTGAGGCCCAAGCACTAAGGCAAGAGTTGGAGAGGCAGCAGTGGTTGCTGGGGTCTGTGCAGAGGGACCTGGAGCAGAGCTTGAGGAATGCAGGCCAAGGTGACCCAGCTCACAGGGGCCTTGCTGAGCTGGGCCACAGGCTGGCTCAGAAGCTGTAGGGCTGGGGGAACTGGGGCCAGCACCCTGGGGGCCCTGCCAATGCCTCAGAAGCCTTGAGTCAGGAGCCCCACTTGCAGAGTTCTAGAGAGTGGAGTGGAAAGGAAAAGTGGCAAGATAGGCATGGGGACCGGAAGGCTGAGCACTGGAAGCATAAAAAGGAGAAAGCTGGCTGGGAAAGGAAGAAGAGCTGGGGGGATAAGGAGGACAGGGAGCTGGCAGGGAAGTGGAAGGAGGGCAAGCCGAAGGTGGAGGAGAGGGGCAAGAAGGATGGTAAGCGACAGGGCCCCAAGGAGCCCCCCCAGGAAAAGTGGAAGCCCCCACTCCTCTGGGGAAAGGCACAAACACCCTCAGTGGAAGGAAGGGGCTAAAGACAGACATGAACCCCTGCCATTCTGGGCAGAGCTATCAAGGCACAAGTACCGGACACCCCAGGGCTGCTCGAGTGTGCACAAGTGTGCCCAACAGGAGGGCCTGGCCTTCTTTGGCATGGAGCTGGCCCCAGTGCAGCAACAGGAGCTGGCCTCTCTGCTGAGGACATATCTGGCACGGCTGCCCTGGGCTGGGCAGCTGACCAAGGAGCTACCCCTCTCACCTGCTTACTTTGGTGAGGATGGCATTTTCCGCCACGACCGCCTCCGCTGTCGGGATTTTGTGGATGCCTTGGAGACAGCCTGGAGGAGGTGGCGGTGAGACAGACAGGTGATGACGACGAGGTGGATGACTTTGAGGACTTCATCTTCAGCCACTTCTTTGGAGACAAAGCACTGAGGAAGAGGTCCGGGAAGAAAGACAAACACTTTGGGAGCCCCCGAGTTGTGGGGCCAAGGGAGGAGCACAGTCACCACCGCAGAGGCTGAGGCCTGCTGTTACCTTACTCCTGGGGACTGCTGAACTGCCATCTCTCCTGGTTGGTGTCCCAGGATGTCCTTCACAGAGAAGAGCGAAATCCCTCAGCCCTATACTGATGCGACTTGCACTAGAAAAAGGCCTTAGTGGGGCCTGCCTTGCTGTCTGTGCACACGTATGGGAATGGTCAGGCCTGGACTGGGACCCTTGGCAGTCTGACTGTGTCACGCCAAATGTGAAAGGGTTGGGAGAAAAGCCTGGTTTGGGGGGTGGGGTGGCGGTGGGGGATGGTATTCTGATTCTGAAGCCAAAGCACTTTTTTCCTCTTGTATGTGTGCTGCTTCAAAGTGGGCCCTGCGTGCCACAGCCTGACCCGTGCCCCTGGGGTTTGAGAGTTGCTGGCTAGAGGCCCAGCATTTGGACTTTCCCTGGGGTTTGTTAGATTTGGAAGCAGCTATCCCTAGGGAGTGAAGTCCCCTTTACCCTGGCTTCTCACGTGGCCTCACCTCTCCTATGAACTGTAGACTCAGATCACAATAAAGAGCTGTTGGAGCCCTGAAAAAAAAAAAAAGATTTCAGGCTTTTTCTGAGCAATTAGATTGATGGTGCTCAGGGTGACGTACTGCACCTCTTGCTCCCCAGACAGCGGAGTGACAACAGAGGGAGCAACTTCTTCAGCAGTATATTATAGTAGAGTCCATTGGTAACAACTCTAGAGATCTCATTAAGACTTTTACTGCTCAGCTGGCATGAGATAGCTGGGGAGTTAGTGCTCACAGATGTTCTCAACCTCCCCGTCATCTTTAGGTTTGTAATTGGATAGGCAGCCTAGGATGAAAATCTGGCCCTATTCAGGGCTGTGTGCAGCTTGTTAATGTTCTGTGGGTTCAAATTGATGTAATTATAATACACTACGTGGCTCATTAGGAAACAGTATTTACTAAAGCATAATAATGAAAATAACAAACTTATAAACAAGATGGGTGAGGAAATAAATGAGATATAAAAGTTAAAATCCTCATCTACTATATAAGAAATCATTAGGTAATGAAATTGTTCAGTTAATATAGATAGAAATGTGAAAGTAAATACTAGAAGTAACAACTCAAGCAAGTAAGTGTAGCCACTTATGAAAAAATGGAGTGGGATAGGAGTAGGGTAGTAGGAGAGGGTAATGTTGGAGGTTTTTTTTCCTTATCCTTTAATCACTATTTAACTTTTAAAACTATATATATTGCTTTAGTAAAAATAAAAATTAGCTTCAAAAGTGCAAAGAACACTAGATTGGGTCATTGCCAGCCAATATGTATTAGAAAAATGTGAAAAACAGTAGGAGGGGAAAAAAGGATGACATTAATATAAGAAAGTAAATTTTTGGAGTTTTTTCCTTTTTTAAACTTAGGTTTATTGTTGAATGTTTTACAGATGTTCTCCATTTTTGCCCCCACTGATCCCCTCTTCCCCGCTCCCAACCCTCTCTTGCCTTCCCCACACGATTGTCAATGCCCATTGGTTATGCATATGTGCATATAAGTTCTTTGGTTTAGCTCTTCCCACCCCAACCCCTTTCCCTTCCTTTGAGGTTCATTAGTCTAACAATTAATTTGTACTTCTTAATTCCTTCACCTTTTTCACCCATTTCCCCAAACCCCTTCCCATCTGGCAACCAACAAAAACTTCTTTGTATCTATGAGTCTGTTTCTGTTCTGCTTGTTCATTTTGTTTGTAGATTCAATTGTTGACAGATACATATTTATTGCCATTTTACTGTTCATATTTTTGATCATCATCTTCAAGAAAATCCTTCAACATTTCATATAATACTGGTTTGGTGGTGATGAACTTTAGCTTTTTCTTGTCTGAAGAACTCTTTATATATCCATCAATTCTAAATGATAGCTTTGGAGGATAGTGCAATCTTGATTGTAGGTCCTTGCTTTTCATCACTTTGAATATTTCTTGCCACTCCCTTCTGGCCTGCAAAGTTTCTTTTGAGAAATCAGCTGACAGTCTTATGGGAGCTCTCTTGTAGGTAACTAACTGCTTTTCTCTTGCTGCTTTTAAGATTCTCTCTTTGTCTTTCACCTATTGTACTTTTAGTATGATGTGTCTTGGTGTGGGCCTCTTTGGGTTTGTGTCGTTTGGGACTCTGTGCATCCTGGACTTGTATGTCTGTTTCCTTCACCAAGTTAGGGAAGTTTTCTGTCATTACTTTTTCAAATAGGTTTTCAATTTCTTGCTCTCTCTCTTCTTCTGGCACCCCCATGATGCGAATGTTGGTATGCTTGAAGTTGTCTCAAAGACTCCTTACACCATCCTCATTTTTTTGGATTCTTTTTTTCTTTTTGCTGTTTGAGTTGTATTTTGCTTTCTGGCTTCACCTCCTGTACTGTTGATTCCCTGTGTATTATTCTTTATTTCAGGTAGTGCATCCTTCATTTCTGACTGGTCCTTTTTTATGTTGTTGATGTTCTCACTAACTTCCTTGAAGTTCTCACTAAGTTCCTTGAGTATCCTTGTAACCATGTTTTGAACTGCGTCTGATTGATTGCTTATCTCCATTTTATTCCGTTCTTTTCCTGGAGTTTTGTTCTGTTCTTTCATTTGGGACATTTTTCTTTGTCTCATCATTTTGGCTGCTTTCCTGTGTTTGTTTTTATGTATTAGGTAGAGTTGCTATGTCTCATAGGCTTCGTGGGGTAACCTATTGTAGAAGGTATCCCGTAGGGTCCAGTGGCACAGCCTCCCTGATCACTCCAGCAGGGCCCTCAAGGTGCACCCCTAGTGTGGACTTTACACCCTTCTGTTGTAATTGAGTCGTGATTGCTGTTGGCACATCAGTGGGAGGGATTTACTCAAGTTGGTCAGCTGCGAGGTGCCAACTGACCTCTGACTACCTTGGAGGATCACCTGTGCAGGGGCCCATCACATAGAGCAAGACTTACTTGAGTAGGGCTCTGGTACCCACTGAGTTCACTGCTTGAGTGTGTCACTTGTGGAGGTGGTAGGGTGGTGGTGCTTCAGCATGGTCTGAAGCTGTCCATTGGGTGTACTAGCTCTGGGGCAAGGTCAGCCCACTGCCTATGTTCTACCCAGAGCCACCAGGTATAAGCTACAGAGTGATCTGCTTGTGCTGGGTTTGCAAGGTACCCAGACAAAGTCAAGCTGTGAACTAAGGCTGGCTGCTTGTAGTGCCAGGCCTGGGGCCACTTAGTGAGAGGTATGGGGCTCACTGAGGCCAGATGCTGTTCGTTTAAGAGAATTTAGGAAACTCTGAAGCAGGATCCAAGACAGGCCAATCCGGTGGTAAAGCCACTGGAAACGGCTTGGGTGGGCCCGAAGGTTGGGTGGGACAGGGCCTCAGGGAGTCATCAGAGTAATGCAAACAGTGTGAGCCAGGTTGCTGGAGTCCCAGATATGGCACCCATCTGCCACCCCAGAGAAGGGCTCTCCAAAAGAACAATGGCCTCCCTACGGCTAGTCTGTTCAGCAGAAAGCTGCCCCTCCTGCTCTCGCCCCAATTCCAAACAACTCAGTTCTTCCCCCTTATGTCTCTGGCACCTTTCAAGTTGCCTCTCCAACGCTGGAGCCCAGAAGGAGCAAGTCTGAATTAAGTCCGTTTGCAGGCCCTTTAGGAGAAACTGCCTGGGATTCCAGAAGCCTCAGCCTCCCTCAACCTCAATTCCTGCTGGGTTTTACAGCCAAAAGTTATGGGGACTTCTCTTCCTGACATTGGAATCCTGAACTTGCGGAGGGCTGGTGTGGGATGGGGACCCCTTGCTCCTCAGGGAGGACATTCCCAGCCAAGGTATCTCTCCTCATTTTTATCTGCCCCACATGGGGTGGGACCAGCCTGTCTGCTCCTCCACCCTTCTGTCCATCTCAGTGTGGCTTCTTTTTTAATTTTGTAGTTGTAGGACTTCCATTCAGCTCTATTTCAAGTGGTTCTGAATGATAGTTGTTCTGTAGTTTAGTTGCAATTTTGATGTGGTTGTGGAAGGAGGCGAGAACCACGTTTACCTACACTGCCATCTTGACCTGAAGTCCCAAGAAAGTAAATTTCAAAGTAAAAAGCATTGAACAAGGCACAGAAGACCCAGCTTATTGTGATAAAATATTAAATCTACAATGAATAACTAAGTCTAATAAGTAACATCAAAAAATATAAAATTAAAAACTTAGAAATACCAGGAGAAAAAAGTAACTGGGAGACTTTAATATCATGATTATATCTTAGATTTGAATAAATAAGACCCAAAAATACTATATATGAATAGTATATGTTTTATTTTGTACCTTGCAAAGGGTGCTATTGCTTTCCTAGCATCCATAGAACATTTCAAAAAGTTTATCATATTTTAGCGCTGGCCGGTTTGGCTCAGCGGTTGTGTCTGCCTGCGGACCAGAGAGTCCTGGGTTCGGTTCCCGCTAGGGGCATGTACAAAAAAAAAAAAAGAAAAAGTTTATCATATTTTAAATCTCTATAAATTCAGTAAATTATACTGGCTATGTTCTCTGACTATAACGAGTATTACAAGAGCACTGTGCAAGGCAGAAGTATTGAGAGACTGACTCCCTGGCAGTCAAGGTTGCCTAGTGAAATGGCACCAAGTGGGTTGATATAGCCTGGATGATAGTGTCAAGAGCTCTGTCTTGGGAATGACAACCCTGACTCCTCAAACCACTGCACAAGCTTAGGGTCTGGTTTGGCCCACGATCCACCCTTCTATTTTTGTTATTAATATGTTTTTACTGATTTTTTAGAGAGAGAGGAAGGGAGAGAAACATCAACGTGAGAAACATCGATTGGCTGCTTCCTGCACGCCCCCTACCAGGGATCAAGTTCAACCCAGGCATGTGCCCAAGCAGGAATTCAACCAGGACCTCTCAGTCCATGGGACAATGCTCAGTCCACTGAACGACACTGGCAGGGCCACCCCTCTATTTTTAACCCACCCCTCTAAATATTACAAACCATCTTAGCTGATGGTACCCTCAGGAGAAAATTGTCTCAAGTCAAAAATCACAAAACATCTGAGAACAACACAATAAGTGACCAAAAAAAGAGAGAGAAAACAGCTGATATTAGCTGCTATTCCTCACATAAGTTGCTTAAAGAAGCAATTTTAAAAAAGTAAAACCACCAGCTTTATGCCTCTTTGAGAAAATTATCTCCAGACCTCACACTTAATTTTTCCTTTCTCTTGATCTTACTTATTTTTGAAAATAAAGTTTAAAGATAACTTTTACCTCAAACTTATGCAAACCTAGAAATAATTACATATCTCAATACTCCACCTTTTTTTCCTTCAACAAATGTTTACTTTTTATAATCAACATATAACATTATATTAGTTTTAGGTATACAGTACAACATAATGAGTCAATATATGTATATATTGCAAAATAATCACCACAATAAGTCTGGTTAACATCCAAAACCAAATAAACGTTGCAAAAATAAAGCCCTGGCCAGTTTGGCTCAGCAGTTAGAGCATCGGCCTACAGTCCAGAGAGACCCGGGTTCGGTTCCCACTAAGGGCGCATACCTCCGT